TATTTTTGAAAATAGGCTCATTTTCCAACTCCCCTAGAGTTAAACAGTTCAGTTTTACCATTTTCGAATCAAGCATAGATCGAAGCATAGATCATTGAATCTGATTTGACCGTTAGCATCTTACAATGATATTGATGAGCAATGATATTACGCAGCGCCTGAAAATAGGCTTATTGGAAGTTACCTAGCTGGGGACTATTTTCAGGCGCTGCATAATATCATTGCAATGAGAGTATAGTTCCTAGCCATATCGGCCTAGAAAATCGCAGCTTTTCATTTTAAAAAGTTGCGTGTATTTCTTAGTACACGGCGTAACTACAGAAGAGTCAAGTTTTAAATAGGAAAAATATAGAAACTCTTTGGTCATTTTTGAGCGAGATGCTAACGGTCTAATCAGATTCAATGATCTATGCTAAGCTACAGCTAAAAGTGCTACCGCCAGACCCGGAGATCGGCTGAATGGATTCGAAAATGGTAAAACTCAACTGTTTAACTCTAAGGGAGTTGGAAAATGATTCTATTTTCAAAAATAGTGGAGTGTTCCTTTAAACCCCACTGAAAATCTGTGGAATGACTTAAAGACTGCAGTCCACAAACACTCACCATAAAATTTACCTGAACTTGAGCAGTTCTGCAAAGAAGAGTGGGCAAATATTGCAAAGTCTAGGGCTACATCCACACGAAGCCAGAGCTTTCCCTATCCTATCTTTTTTTTCCCCCTCGTCTCAAGAAATATCTGCATCCACACGAAACCACAAAACCGACACAAAACGATGTAGTATACATGCCAGACCAGTATGTGGCGCTGTTATTCTGCCACAGAGATACACTAAAAACGGAGAAGAAGACTTGGACTATGCGCATAAACCTTGCGCGCGGTATACAAACGGACATGGAACAATAAATGTATTAATCTATGTTAATGTTAGTTAATAAAAAGGCAATCGTTCAGTGTTTGTTCATGTTTTTGTTGCTGTTACGTGACGTAGCGGTGTCTGACTAGGGGTGAGACGTGGGCTGATGACGTCATCGTTTCAGAAAATATACGGATTCGCTGTCCACACGAAAACGCAAGGGCGGCGTTTTCAGAATTATCCACTCTGGGACCCGGTTTAAAAAAATATCGGTTTCACTCTCCCAAAACGCCGGATCCGTGTGGACGAAACGCCTATACGATACAAAATGTATGCGTATACAGCTAAACGCGTCTCCGTGTGGACGGGGCCTAGATGTGCAAAGTTAGTAGAGGCTGTAATTAGCAGACTAAAGGCTGTAATTAAAGCAAAAGGTGATTAAACATAATACTTACACAAGGGGGTGATGCTTTTTCCAACTCAATGATTCTGTATTTTTATTTTATTTTTAATTTTTTTCTGACATGTTGGTGTTATATCTTTCACTTGGATGGTTATAAGTTGCACTGTCAGCTGGATGATGGTTATAAGTTGCACTGAGTAAATTCAGCTGGATAAAACAAAAACTGTGTCCGTCTTCATTTCAGGCTGCAAAGCAACAAAATGTGATTATTTTAAAGGGGGGTGATTCTTTTCTACACCTACAGTATGTCCTGCTTTTTCACTTACTCAGTTACTTGTTCAATTATTTTCACAATAATTGAAAAGGATGGCTCTTGACATCAAGTTAAAAACAATTAAGTGATTCATGCTGATTCGCTTATCAACCACTGCAGATGAGATTATTCAAACCTGATTGCAACATATTTCTTAAAAATCAGTTGTTTCTTAACACATGCATGCACACTTAGGTTTTTCCCAGTAATTTTTCCTACATTGGGTAATGGTTCTTTTCATTCTTATTTTGAAACTAGACAGATATATAGGAAGTAGGACATTTTACTTGTTTATATTGTGCAACTCGATCATACCATTGCTGACCTCAGTTTTCTTTTTTTAGGGTGCCCGAGAAGAGAGTCTTCACCTTCTAAGGCGGTTTTATAAGGCAAGATGGTCTTTTATTTTATATCGGATCAAATAAAAGTCACCAGTTCGTTCAGGTGCTTACTGGAAGTTCAGATAGTTCAAGGCAACAGACCTTCATACTAATAATTCTCATAATTATCACCTAGTCACTCCACTTGTATTTAATTTCCTTTAAAGTCTCAGGAAGAATTAAGCTCAGACAGCTCATCCTAAAGACTTTGCTGTTTTGATCTTTGGGAAAATCCCAACAGCTTCCTGTTGAAACTTGTTAGTGCTCATGGTGGCTTATTCGCATTGAGACATTTCTGTGAAAGCAAACTACAATTAAACTGAATAGAGTACTCCGATTCCTGCAAGATAGCAAAGTACACTAGTGCGTGTTTTCCAGCTTTTACTGCAGCCTGTAGCACTTTTTTTCTTTATTTTCCCCAAAGTCATTTTCTCATGAAATATGAGTGCTGTGCCGTGACTCTGTTTAACGTACATGAGAACAGCAGCCAGTTTTGCTTTCACAATTCAAAAAAAGATCTCTTTCAGAATGAATTATGCAGGCTGCGCATTCCGACTGATATTATCCAAAACGTCTGTTATTACACAAGTGAGGACTGTATGTAAATAATCACAGTACTGAATGTTCTGTTCTGGGATAATGGAGGGCCCTGGGAGGGCCCAAGTATTGTCAAGTCTGCTTTATTGTCAATTCTTCCACATGTACAGCCACTATGCGCTGAAGTGTCTTGCGGCAGGATGCGTTGCAGGCACCATACCACACAGTGATGCAGCTCGTCAGAATGCTCTCGATGGTGCCTCTGTAGAAGGTATACATGATGGGGGCCGGGGCTCTGGCTCTTCTTAGTTTGCGGAGGAAGTAGAGACGCTGCTGTGCTTTCTTGGCCATTGCTGTGGTGTTGTCAGCCCAGGAGAGATCCTCTGTGATGTGCACACCCAGGAACTTGGTGCTGCTCACCCTCTCCACAGTCACACCATTGACGGACAGAGGAGCATGCTGAGTGCGCACTCTCCTGAAGTCAACAACAATCTCCTTCGTCTTCTCCACATTCAGAGAGAGATTATTGGTATCTCATCTGCATCTTTTGTGTGTGTTCATAATGGATCAGTGTGTCCCAGCTCTTCCAAGAATCTGGGCAGACACGTGAAGCAGCAGTCACGGGTTTGGACACACCTACTGTTCCTTTATCATTTCTGTTGTCTACACTATAGCACAATAGTGAAGTCAAAACTATGAAATAACAGAAGTGAAAGCATGGGAATAATGCATTGACCAAAAATGACTTGTACTGTATATGTGAAAGAGTCAGACTGTTCTGAATAATTTAACTCATGCTCATTTTCTCTTTAATTCTCTATATTACTTTTATATTACTTTTCTCATCATGTCTCTCCCTTCATCCTTCCCATGGGGATTTTCATGGAAATGAGTGTTCACACTGATTCATGTGAATAATTGATCTCTCAACAGTACTGGCATCAGATGGTAACACAAGTCGAATAACTTATTAATAATAATTCATTTTTAAAAATGTGATATAGTACAGTAGTCATTCTAGAATAAGTTGATTTGGTCAAGGAAAAGGGTTATTGTTGCTTAAGAGTTTAATTCGTTTTTTAGCTTGAAGTGATGTTTACCTTTCTCTGAGGGATAGTGGGATGTAGTTTATGTAGACTTTTTAGCATCAGACTTCAGTGACAAATGATTCTTCAGAAATTATTTTGATATGCTGATTTGCTGCTGAAGAAATATGTCTTTAATATCGTTAATGTTGAAAACAGTTGTACTGCTTAATAGGTTTGTTTGAATTATTTTTTCAGGATTCATTGATGAATAGACAATAAAAAATTTAAATAAACTTTAAATAAATGTAAATAAATTCTAAATCTTTTTTTTCCATTTTAAACCAAATCTTACTGACTCTAACCTTTTGAACAGTAGTGTATCATGTATCTTGTTTTCTTTTATGGTAATTTTTTCCTTGTAATGTACCTCTTCCTACAGGGGGAGGAGATTTTCCTGGACATGTTTGAGGATGAGTACAGGAGCATGATGGTAAGCTTCCTTACAAAACACATAAATGTTGTCTTTTTTGCAACCTTACTCTTACTGTCTGTCATAACCTGATGATACAGCAACACATCCTTCTGAGGTGAGAGGAAATCTCTGTTATCTATCAGACATTTACTGGATAAGGAGTGGCTAATGCAGCCTACGTTTGTACTGCTTTCTCTTACAAAACATTGTTTCCTGGGAGTATTGTTTTTTTGTAAAGAATTATCTCAGCTAAAATGATAATATTGCTGTTTACTCATGCTCATTTTATCCTTCCATTGAACACAAAAGAATTAAAAAAAATAAAATTTAGTTGCTCACTCGTTTTCCTGCAGTTATAGATAATGTGGACTTTAGCTTTCACCATAAAAGCCAACATGACTCTATATTCTAAGTCTTCAGAAGTCATATACTTTGTGGAAAACAGACCACATGGAGCATAAAATAGTATGGAATATAAGCCATATCATCCACTTTAATGATTTTCTTTTACATGTAGCTTGCCTTTTAGCTTATATTGAAAGTAGTGGCAAAGATATTCTTTAAAAATTAATCTTTAGTGTTTCACAGAAAAAAGAAAGCCATTTGGGTTTGGAATGACATGAAAATGAGTAAATGATTCATGACTGTTGGATTTAAAATGTTGTGAAACACAACTGTCATGTTCACACTGAACCAACACATTCCAAGAGAGTGTTGCTCTGATTGGTTAGCAAAATAAAGGTTTGCGTTTGTTGGACCAGGGTCAACAAGCCCACTGAGTGATTACTATTATTTTTTTTTTCTTTGGTTATGTGTACTGTGTGTATAGAATAAGCCGCTAAATGTGGAGTATCTTATGATGGATGCATCCATTTTACTTCCTCCCACTGGCACCCCCCTTACCGGCATTGACTTTGTGAAGCGATTGCCCTGTGGAGATGTCGAGAGAACACGCAGGGTCAGTGATGAACATATACACTCATGCTGAAAGATCTCAGATTGAATTATATGGGTGGGTCTTGTGGCCATTTGTCAAAATATTTTGTCTTTTTTTGTCAAACATCCACCCCGAACCTTTTCCTTTTCCTTTGGTTTGTCTTCTGGGAAACCAGCCAAAGCTTTTTAGAAATGGATTTCATGTGCTTCAGAAATATAACAATGCAAGGCTTTCTGCTATATCGATAATACAGAGTATCAACTTAATTTGGTCTGAATGACAAGCATCTGATTTTGAATACTCGTATGCTTATTTGGTGAAGCAGCTGTGCACATGAATTAGGGCTGTGCGATTAATAGAAATCGTCATAAAATCGCGATTTGAGCTTGCGCGATTTCTAAATCGCTTTATAGCACGATTTTCCGCGCCCCCGACCTCCCGCAGTATGCTGTCCGAACCAATTAGAATGCAGCGTGTCTAAATGGAGCACGAGAACAGAACAGACCGGGCGGGCATACAAACGTAACGCCAGGTTCACACACTCTGTCTGTGGTGCCTATTTTTTCTGCGCCCATGTTAACGGATCAGAGCGTTCACACTGCACGCTATTGCAGTCCTGCAGTGCGCTCCAGGAGCGGTGCGTCTATTTCTGCTGTGCTGGTATACGCACTGCAGACGGAGTACGTGTGAACTTGGCGCAACAAATCTAGTTCAACATCTAAAGCAACGCCACAAAGAGCTCTATGACCAGTGCATGGCAAAAAAAAAAACCCTGGACACGGGAGTCAAAATCGTGATTAAAATGGAAATCGCAAAATTGATCAAAGAAATCGCGATAGGCTTTTTTTGTCCATATCGCACAGCCCTAACATGAATGGTAAAATGCACTTCTCTTACAGAGCCGATTCTTGGTATAACTTCAACAGCATTGAATCAGTACTATTATATATGTGTCAATCATTCAGTTAAGACTGTAGCAGCACTTTAAGTAGTTATTTTACATTTAATATGTACATAGAAAAGTTTAAAGGGGTCCTATTATACTCTTTTACAAAGTCTTGATTTTGTTTTGGGGGTGTACTAGAACAGGCTCTCATACTAGGTTGTTCGAAAAACACATTATTTTTCACATATTTTACATTCTGGGCCAGTGTGTGTTGTGATTGGTTAGCTGGGCCAGTGTGTGTTGTGATTGGTTAGCTGGGCCAGTGTGTGTTGTGATTGGTTAGCTGGGCCAGTGTGTGTTGTGATTGGTTAGCTGGGCCAGTGTGTGTTGTGATTGGTTAGCTGGGCCAGTGTGTGTTGTGATTGGTTAGCTGGGCCAGTGTGTGTTGTGATTGGTTAGCTGGGTCAGTGTGTGCTGTGGGCCAGTGTGTGTTGTGATTGGTTAGCTGGGCCAGTGTGTGCTGTGATTGGTTAGCTGGGCCAGTGTGTGCTGTGATTGGTTAGCTGGGCCAGTGTGTGCTGTGATTGGCACCACTCGGCGCCTGGTCGGGAAATGTCATGTCCCTTACCATAGCTGCCTGTGAGCTTCAGTGTAAGTATTGTCAAAATCAAATCAATTTGAGCGCGATTTAAACCCGGATGATTGTAACAACTCGTAAGTTTGTCTGCCTTGGGGAAACTAGTGTGTCTCTGACATAGTGATAACACTCGTTGCCTTCTCTAGTGCAGCTCAACCAGGTCTCGTCCCATTCGTCGATATTTGTGATATCACAAATCCCAGAGAATATGTGTTGCAGTCCAAACGAGTCGTTCGTTGTAGTTTTTGAAAAGTGATTTCTGTTAAATAAAATATCTCCTTTTGAATTGGACTTTGAGCTTTGTAACTTTGCAGATCTTTTTTATGCTCAAACAGCAACATTACAGACTAACTAAAGTTGAAAAAGTGAAAAAGCATAATAGGACCCCTTTAAGCACTGTTTACTTAAGTGAGCAGTTGTTTAACTGTTTTTTTATTATTATTAATATTTAACTTTCTACATAAAAGATTGCTTTCAATATTATATTAGTTTTGAAAGTGGTGCCAGGAGTCGTAAAATTTCACAGGTGTCAGTACTAAAACTTTGATATCATGACAACTCTGGGTAATGTCACAGTTGAACTTAAATTCTTCATCAGGCTAATGTGTTCCTTGTTTTAAGACACTCTGTTACATTGATCATATTTATATTTGAGATACATTGATAATGTTTTAAAGGATATTTTCGAAAAACTTTTAGCACTTATGCAGGACATAAATTCCAGGAAGATTCAAATCATTTGATGCTGCATGTTTATGATTAATTAGTTTCTATAGCAGCTTTAATTGTGTGTGTGTGTGTGTGTGTGTGTGTGTGTGTGTGTGTGTCCCTGCAGGCTATACGTGTGTTCTTCATGCTGCGCTCGCTGTCCCTACAGCTGCAGGGAGAACCAGAAACTCAACTACCTCTCACCCGACCAGAGGATCTCATCAAGACTGATGATGTGCTTGACCTCAGTAAGGCCTTTAGAGTCACATAAAGCTGATGCTCAACGAGTTATTTTTGCAAATTGAACATTTTCCAGTTTCTCAACTGTAGGGATTTTTTTTCTGCTCATTCAGGTTTTTATTTGCTTTGCCAACATTTTTACTGACCTTCAAGTTGTTCCAAATCTGTATGAATTTCTTTCTTCTGCTGAACACAAAAGAAGATATTTTGAAGAATGTTAGTAACCAAACAGTTACTGGTTCCCACTGACTTGCATAGTATTTTTTTACCATACTATGGAAGTCAGTTGCTGCTAGGGATGGGTCACGATTTTCGAATATTCGATTAGTTGATTTAATTATAGAATATCGAATAGGTTGTGCGATTATTGTCTTAAAAAATTTCCCCATGTTTTCCGTGCTGATGCGGTGGTTCATGTGGCGCTGCCAATAACGCACCTAAAAGCTGTCAAAGACAACAGAAGAACACATTGTCTCACGTGCACACTGTAGACTTGCATGGTATAAAAAAAGACTTGCCTAGCATATAATGGTTACAGTAACTTGGGACGATGTCAAATAAAAGTTTTGTGTGGACCACAAACTCCCCCGCCTGGGTTAGAGGTGTGGCTGTAGTCAGAAAGGCGCAGAAAACAAATAACGCATTCTACGGAGCCACTAAAGGGACATGCTTAGCCGCTTGCTAGTGGTAGCCTGTTACATTCATAGACATGGTTACATAACATTTCACTTACCACATAAACAGAGTAAGGAGAGATGACTGAGTATGATGGCGAATGATTTGCAGATCCTGAGCACCACTGACAAACATCTAATCTTGTAAAATGTGTGGTAAGTACTGCCGAGTGCTGCTCCGTACGTGTGATCGCGAATCTCGAAAGTGAAAGTAAAAAACAAGAGCGCGTTCATAAGCGATTTCAATGCCTCACATATTAATAACGGCTCCCTGATGCCCGCAGTTTATATTAATACAATTACCCAATGATATAATTGCGACAGAAGATATTGAAGTATATTTTTCCTCCCATTTCGTATCTATTCCCTTTGCGGTTCCATTTTTTATAATGGAAATGTCCTAGCCTTATGAGCAGTTGATTTATGCTAATCGATAGACTTATGTTAATAAGTGCCATCATTCGGTTATGTTTATTATATTAATATGTTTCAGCACGTTACAATCATTATATGGCTTGAGTTAAGGTAGCCTATCTTCTGAATTAAACAGTTTATCATACAGATTGAAAGCTTGAATCCTGTCTCTCTCCCTCTCTCTCTGTTTAAGGGTGTTTGTGCATACATGCGGGGGAGGGGTGCGATTTTTCGAATAATAGTCCAATAATAACCAGCGATTTTCAAATATTATTTTTGCTTGGAATGCCCTTCCCTAGTTGCCACCAGCAACTGTTTGGTTGTCTAACATTCTTCAAAATATTTTATGTTCAACATAAGAAAGAAACTAATACAGGTTTGGAACAACTTGAGGGTGAGTAAATTAGACAATTTTCATTTTCATGGGTGAACTATCCCTTTAACTTGCAACAAAAAATTATACATTTAAAGACATATAAATGTTATTTTTAACAGTATTTTTAATGGCCAGAAAATTGATATTTTTCATTAAATGTTAAATTATAAACCTTTTCATTAAAAAAGTTGTTTTTTTTTTATTTGTCATAATACCTGGGATTTATACAGCTGTAATGAAACTCTGACACAATTTTGCTGTTAAAAAAGTTGCATATGATTTTCCAATTATTTTCACATGACAACAATGTTCAAAGAAAACCAAATGTTTAGGCCTACAAGGATTAAAGGGGTCCTATTATGCCCTTTTACGAAATCTTGATTTAGTTTTTGGGATGTGCTAAAATAATTTACATTATTGCAGCACCTCTCTTCCCAGGCTGTCTCAAACGCACTGTTTAGTCCCTGTTTCGATGAAACCCCTCCTTCCAAAATACGAAATGTGCTCTGATTGGTTAGCTGGCCTAGTGCTTTGTGATTGGTTAAGAGTGTGTTCCGGAAAAGTCACGCCCCTTGTTTGTTTTTTTACACTCTCTGGCTCAGCTCAGCTTTTTGCATATTCCATTATTTAAATGAGTAACATTGTGACTTCACAATATCTAGAAGAAGCACACTGTAGTCCGAACGAGCCGTTTGTTGTAGTGCTTGAAAAGTGTTTTCTGAGAAAGAGCACACCTCTCTTTGGAGTGAACTTTGAGCTGTGTGACCTTGCAAATCTTTTTTATGTTTAAACAGCAACATTACACTTGAACTAAAGTTGAAAAAGTGTAAAAGCACAGTAGGACCACTTTAAAATACATGTACATGACCAATAAATGTAAGATTCAAAAACATCACCACTCAGTTTCATGTGAATCTTTGCGATAACTTGATAACAAACATCTACAGCTGAGTGATTCACATTAACTGAATTGTGTGCTAGTTCTTGTTTCTGTGGTATCAGATAAAGTGCAGTTAGATAAAGATGAAACTTCAGCACTTCGGTTGAGTTTTAATAGAAAAAGAACGTGGAATCGATATCTTTCTCATGAACTGCGGCCATCTCCTTGGTTTTGAGTTCCATGTTAAGACCTTCCTCGTTGTATCTCACACTCAGTCGCAAAGTGTTTACCACATATGATGAAATCGCTCTCTCGTCGCCTGTGCAGCTCTTTCATGCAATCTGTGGGTTTGCACTGTTAACCGATTTTCACTTCAGCCCTGATGTGTTGCATGGAAGCCCCTCGTCTCAGAACCTCTGGCTCAGTTCTTGTGTCCAGGTGTCCTGTTTAACTCAGGCCATCTCACTTTGACAGGTAAGAGGGGGTGTGTACAAAGCGAACTGACTCAGACCTTCCGCTGTCACAGAGGCCTTTGCTAGAGCTGGTGCAGCTGTTGTGGGCAGCAGCCTTGAGCTCTTCCAGTATATCTCGCGTCTTAACAGTAAGGCTGCTTGAGAAGCACCTACAGCCTCGGTCAGAGAGTGGGCAGAACGAGCCCTGGAAGTGTGAGCAGGTGGGAGAAAGCTCAGATTTTGCTGCCAAAATCAACCCACTGCAGCTTCCTGTCTTACAGCCGTTTGTGCATTTAAGGGTTAATGCACAAAGTATGACATCGGCTGACTGTTTTCGCTCTGGGTTTGAATCGTTTTCATTTGTGAAGACCAATATTAGGTCAAGGAAATGATAATATAAGTCTTGTTAGTCTGCCATTAAACTTGGTTTTACACGATTACATTATAAGTACAGTAGGGTCCAAATTTCTAAGATTACAATGAAAATCTGGGATTTCAGAATCTAATTTAAATGTGGAATGATTAAAGTTCTTTGTTTTGATAATGTCAAAATGAAAAATTAATAATTTTGGTTCATAATTAATCTGATAAATTGTCCAGACAAATTTGTGAAACATTTGTTCATTTAGAAAATTTCAAAAACTTTAAAATTAATCATGAATTTAACTGAATAATTTGGATGAATTTGTGAACCGTTTCTTTGTCCTGAAATTTTCAAATCCTAAAAATGTTATGACATAAAATTCATTCATGCTGGATAACATGATCAGACTACTGTCCATAAAGCAAAATGGGGACAAACCAAGTAGTAAAAATAATTATTTTCACCCAAATTATTGTGCTGATAATACCTATTTTTCTTTAGGCTTATTTTACAAAAGCACAAAGATTTGTTTTTATTGTGAATGTACACAAATAAAGGTAAACCTTTTACAATTCCAATTATCTTTATGACTACAAGGACTAGTTGTTTCCACTGTTAGAAAAATTTGCCATTCAAATACATCGCGAATACGGAAACATTTGATTTTGTAATATTTGTAAACATTTCGCGTCGGCATTAGGCCTATTACTGAATGAAATAATAAAATGCGACTTATACGCGACTTATGTTTTTTCCCCCTAAAAACACATTTTTTTATACGCGTAGCGTATTTTAACCATGCAGCAAACCTTTTTAAATATTTTGATAAATTACTGAAAAAATAAATAATTAAATGACCATTTTAAACCGTTTAACTGATTGTATTAATCGGTCAAAATTCTTACGGTCGGTTAACCGGTTAAACGGTTAAAATGAATATCCCTATTTCAGACTTTTGGACCCCACTATATGTCTGCAAAGCATTTTACCACATAAAATCATCTCCGATTTTCCTATCTGGAAAATCTTTTGTACATCCCCCAGCTTCACAGTAACAGCGGTTTACAGTTGGTTCATCTTGCACCATCATGATTTGTGATAACATTGGCCTTTTTATGTCCTTTTTAATGTGAATCCAAGAATGGCTCAACAGTAAGTGGATGGAACAAGCACCTCGCTCTCAAATGATGAGAGAGACAGTCAGACAGATAGACAGACAGATCGACCTGAGAACCTGATGTGCCACTGATCTGTGTTATTTTTAGACGTGCAGGAAATGATGCATGCACACAACACCGTAGACGCATCACAGTGCATTGTGTGAACTTACATGAATTCTTGCTAAATATTTTCCACTCTTTGCTGTTGGTTTTTTTAAGGACACATTAACTGAAAGAGCTGCAACTACATGTTCAAATGTGTTTTGTGCCCTTCTTGTTTCCTTTTTTTATGCATATACATAAGTATTATTACACATGACATGTGATCACTTTCTGTAGAAGTTCTCAGAAAAAGTTTCTCACCTTAAACACTCAAGTCTCATGGTACTTTTGCATGTAACACCCCACCCCCACTTTGGCTGAGAGCTGAAATCTCATCTATTAATTAGGGTTTGTTAAAATAGACAAGCATATTACATTTTCTCTTGAAATTGCACAGGATGTAATTGTGTATGTTTTGGAAGGTCTGATTTAATTACTCTTACCCAGGGTTATAGTGAGCAATTTGTCCCACACATTTTCTGAGTTATTCTTTAGTTGACTCTTGCTTCAGGATTCCCAAGGTCATGGAAGACCTGGGGCCTCATTTATTAACAGTGCGTATGCACAGATGTGTGCGTAATGAGTGCGTAAGAACAGTTTCACGCAAAGTGTGGGATCTACCAACTTGTACTTATACGTAGAAATGTGTGTAAATATAAGCACACCTCTCAGCATGCTTACGCAGAGAATCTAGTGGTAGAATAGCGACACTACACATAAAAAGCATTTAAGAGTGTCACAGTACGCATTAAGCAATCCACAAATGCCCTGTGTTTCCTTTAATTATAAAACACTCAATTTATCATTTGTCTGGTTTTAAACAGACAATTTGCGTAATTGGTGTTAAACCATAAAAGACAGCTGTGACAAATGTTTGTCTCAGTGCAATGGCTTATCTTGCGTTATTGGAAGACTTGGCAAACAATGCTCTCCGCAGAGAACGCGTTTTCAAAGACTGCGCTGAGAGTGAGAGCACAGAATGGCTTCTCAGTCGGTACCGCTTTCTTTGCCATGATTTCGGTGAGGGCACATACATTCACGTGATTTATAAAGGGAGGTGTTGTCACCATATATGGTTCATTGGAGGCGTTTCCGAATGCAAATGACCGTGAACGAGCATGTTACTTACAATGATTGCTTACTCGTGTGCGTAAGAACTGCATGCGCACGTTTGATAAATATGGATTTTCTTGTACTTAGGCACATTCTAAATTTCATTCGTAGGACAAAATATAGAACCTTTTCTACATACTGTTGATAAATGAGGGCCCTGGAATATGAGGAAATGTTTATGTAATGTTTTTCTAACAAAGACATTTTAAAGAGGTAGTTCACCCAAAAATTACAATTCTGTCACTAATTACTCCGTAGGTTTTTCCAAACCTGTATGAGGTTCTTTCTTCTTTTGAACACAAAAGAAGATATTTTGAAGAATATTCATAACCAAACAGTTGATAGTAGCCATTGGCTTCCATAATATATTTTTTTTTACCATGCATTAGAAATCAATGACTACCATCAGCTATTTGGTTACAAACATTCTTCAAAACATCTCTTGTATTCAACAAAAGTAATTTGTACAGGTTTGGTGATTAATTTTGAAAAGATTCTTTTCAATTAAACAGTTCAATCAAATTTATCTGAATGATTATTCAGATTAGTTCTGAATCAAAATGATTTTTACAATCGTTGTCCAGTTATCATAGTTACCAAATACTTAAATTATCACCATCAAGAAGGTTAGTTACTTATTTTTAAAATCTTGGAAAAGCAAGTTTTGCTTTAACGTTGTTGGCTAGACATTGCTTTGTGATGCTGATTACTAAAGTTCTTTAGAGAAGATCCCTTTTAATGAATTGATCAAACTGGTTCAGAGGTATGAATGATTCATTATTTTCGTTCGAATGATTTTTAAATAGGTCACCCAGCTTCCACATAAACACTGACATTTATAGACACTGAAATGAGTGCTCTTTGTTCTGCTTCCTTTTTTAAAATTCAACTTCATCATGAATCAGCAAACATAACCACATGTAACCACCCGTGGAATGTATCCTGATTGCCCTTAGGATACAAGATTCCACAGAGCTGGTGTGCATCATGGTATTTGTGGCTTTAATAAAAAGAAGAACTACTCTGCTCAGCTGTCTGCTTAACTAGTCAGACGTCATCTACATAGAAGTGTGTATTCCTTGGTAGAAGAGCAGATAATTTTCCCCAGAGGCAGCACAATTCTCTGTCACCACAGTTGGCTGTGAGTTAAAAGGAAGAGCAGCGCTCGCTCTTCTAGTTCTGAAGTAATTCCTCAACCCATCAGTGTAACTTCTAAGGAAGTTCAGAGCACAAAGTGAAACTGGTACAAAGTCATAGTACCTCAGCTGTGACGATGCTGTTTCAGTTATTAGTAGTTTAGTGGGTCTACCTGAAACCAACTTTAAACGTTCATGACTTACCTCTCTTACCTACCCCTCCCCTTCTTCCCCCACCCCCTTCTCCACCCACCCGAGTAGCTGCACTGTACTGTTTAGGGCATGACTCACTGGAGTGTTTTTGAAAACTCCCGCATGTCTGAGTACAATCTGATTTCATGACAGGTTAACACTAACTCAGTTACTGACACTTTAATGTGATTGAATTCACCCTGCGCTGACATTTTCTTAACCCTTTATAATAGAAAGTGCATGACTATATTTAGTTGTGCAAGTCCTACTGTTTCTTTGGAAATAGATTAGGTGACTGAATTGAAATTTTAATGCTAAATTTCCTGAAGCATGTAATCAGAGGCTGTTAATGCAGTGAAGTATTGCATGAGGGGCAGATCTGGACTTGTGTATTTGTACAAATTTTGTGTGGGTTTGTTTTGAACGCTTGAAGTGGTTAAACAGTGTTCCCAATCATAGTCTGAACTTTGACCTTTATGGCTTGTTTTTACTGATTTGTGTAAGTTTGTTGAAGGACCCTTGGAATTACCTATAAATTATTATACCTTATTCTTCCCTTATAGATAACAGTGATCTTATTGCTTGCATGGTGGTGAGTAAAGATGGTGTTCAAGCTCAGCGCTTCCTGTCTGTGGATGTGTACCAGATGAGTCTTGTGGAACCAGATTCAAAACGTCTTGGCTGGGGGGTTGTCAAGTTTGCTGGCCTTTTACAGGTCTGCTTCATTTCTACTCCTACACTGCAAACATGACGCTCAAACAAAAAAGTACACTTTGGCCACATTCTTGTCAGGACTGTGATGTTCAGCTCAGAAGTGAAGTCCTCTGTCAGATTTTAAAGTTATTGCATGTAACAAGGAAAGGTATTTAAGGGCTTCGCTCGAAAACCAATTCAGAAAATCTGATTTTGAAAGAGAGATCAATTAAATTATGTAACTTGCTCTGCAAACAAATTACTAAAATTGTGTACAAATATGGATATGCTATGTGACTTGTATGCATGATGCTGCTTTTTTTTATTTTTTTTTTTACTTTCCATTCAATCATGTTACACGCAAAATTAAGGCTTAGTGCATACTGTAAATATTGGTAATGTGTTGCATCGTAACCCTCTGTGAGTGTCCTGGCAACTTAAGGCTCATGAGCAAAACCTAATAGGATATGTAAATTACCACATGGAAACATGTTTGCGCAAAAGTAATCATAGTTAGGCATTTTACAAATCATTCTCTTTAGCAAGACTTGGTCTTAAGTGATTGAGCTACTTGTCGGCACAACAGTTATGACATTAGGTGCAGCTATTTGATGACAGAAATAATTATTATTGTGAGGAATGTTTTCTCAGAAGACATTTCCCAAAAGTCACTGGAAGTGTTATAGGAAAATCCAAAGATTAAAAAAAAAAAAAGAATAAAAAAAAATTCCTAAAGGGATAGTTCACCCAAAAATTAAAATTACCCCATAATTTACTCGCCCTCAATCCATCCTAGGTGTATATGACTTTCTTCTTTCAAACGAATACAATCAGAGTTATATTAAAAAATGTCCTGGCTCTTCCAAGCTTTATAATGGCATTGAATGGCTGTTGAGTTTCAACAGTCCAATAGAATCCAATAAAGTGCGTCCATCCATCATAAAAAGTGCCTCGCATGGCTCCAGGGGGTTAATAAAGGCCTTCTGAAACGAATCGATGCATTTTTGTAAGAAAAATATCCATATTTAAACCGTAATTTCTAGCTTCCGCTAACTGTCGTACGCATGTTCATGAAGAATGGCGTTCCAGTGGATGACGTAGGTGTAGCGTAAGCTCTGGTGAGAAGTGACGAACGCGGAAGCGCAGAGGACAGAGCAAAACGAAACTCCTTTCACGAATTAGAAGTGCAAAATGAGGATTTGTAAAGAAAAAAGTCAGAGGATTTCGATGTAAGTCAAGAGGAGACTGGTTTTCCTTTGCTGTAGCGTATTCTCACCAGAGTTCATTTTTCCATTCACTTGAGAAATAATATATACCAGAGCTTAGCAATAAGTTCAACTGTCAAAGTTAGGTTTTTTTATTATTATTATTATTATTATTTATTAGATTAACAAAAATTTGCACTTTATTGGATTTCTATTGGACTGTTGAAACTCAACAACCATTCACTGCCATTATAAAGCTTGGAAGAGCCAGGACATTTTTTAATATAACTCTGATTGTATTCGTTTGAAAGAAGAAAGTCATATTCACCTAGGATGTCTTGAGGGTGAGTAAATTGTAGGGTAATTTTTATTTTTGGGTGAACTATCCCTTGAAAAAAAAAAAAAGAATTCTGCAAAACAAACAAATTAATAAACAAATTGTTTTAAAATAATTGTTGCATTTGAAGTCTTAGAAACCAGCGTTCAAATTTTCAGATTTTAATCTAATGCATATGTTCACAGGACATGCAGGTTTCAGGAGTAGAAGACGACAGCAGGGCTCTGAACATCATCATACACAAGCCCACGTCTAACCCTCATGCCAAGCCTGTGCCCATCCTGCAGGCTAACTTTATTTTTGCGGACCATATACGCTGCATCATCGCCAAACAGCGACTAGCCAAGGGCCGCATCCAGGCCAGACGCATGAAAATGCAGCGGATAGCAGGTCAGGTCTTGGCTGCTTACCAGTTGTAACTTGCTTTAAATCCAAAGCCGTACACTGTGTTTTTACAGCAGCATGTATCTTCTGTTTATAAATTATACTTTCTCTGACATCCCAGCTGTTGTGCAACATGGGGGTGGAGGTAAATGTGGACTTTAGTTATAATTTAACTGGCCAGAATAACATTTTGAAGTAATTGATGCCAGGTGCAATAAGTTTAATTGTACTGATTCCCAAAAACATGGAATTTCCTTTTAGCTTGGATATTTATCCTGTTACGATTTAATTTTACTGGGTAGTTGGAAAAAAATGAATGCATATTTCCATCACACATTTTTTTGCTCATGTTATCTTTCTTTTCCCTTCTTTCCATAAACATACATCCTGCAGCTCTATTGGACCTTCCTGTTCAGCCTTCCACAGAGGTGCTGGGCTTCAGCCAACCATCTGTTGCTGCGTCTCTGCCATTTCGCTTCTATGACCAGTCCAGACGCGGCCCAGCCTTCGCCTCTGTAGATAAAGTTCCAGGTAAATGTGTGAACCATTAAGGAGGAAATCACAGAAGGTTAAGGGGCAAGGTGTTATCCACAGTTGCATATTTTCGTTTTTATTTCGCATATATATATTTTTTTAATGCTTCTAGCTTTTTTAATTAATGCTTCTCAAGGTTGCATTAAATTGATTAAATAACAGCAGTAAATTACAGTAAAAATGACATTGTTACAAAAGATTTCTGTCAAATAAATGTTGTTCTTTTGAACTTTCTATTCATCAGAGAATTATGAAAAAATGCATTTTGTTTTCCACAAAAATATGAAGTAGCACAACTATTTTCAACATTGATAATAATAAGAAATGATTCTTGAGCAGCAAATGAGCATATTATTAATTATTTCTAAAGGATCGTGTGACACTGAAAACTTGAATAATGGCTGTTGTAAATTCAGCTTTGTCATCACAGGAATAAATTACATTTTAAAATATAAATAAATGCTTTTTATTTTAATATTTATATGGTAATATTTCACAAGATTACCATTTTACTGTCTTTTTGATCACATAAATGCAGCCGTGATGAGCATAAGAGATTTTTTTTAAAAACAAACATTAAAAAACCTAAAAACCCCAAACTTTTTGACAGTAGTTTAGTTTGTAATTTCACATTTTTGTTCATCTAATAATTAAAAAAAAAATAAATAAATAACTTTGACAGTTAAAGTTATTGCTAAGCTCTGGTATATATTATTTCTCAAGTGAATGGAAAAATTAATGCCTAGTCTGTCTTTGGTTGCAGTTTTTTGAGCAAGTCTTTTGGATGATTTGGTGGTAGAGGAGTCTTAATGTAAAATTTCTATTTTATAGGAAAGTGTTCACAACATCAGAGGTTCCTGTTTCTGTTACAGTATAAGATATATTTAATATATGTTGTGAAACATTTGCCTCTTTTGCGTTTTTTATTTCTGAAAGGGACTTGCTCACTCACTTTTCTCTGTGGAGATTTGCACAGAAATTTGACTAATTTTAAACCATTGCACATCCTAATTTTGTTTTCCCCAGAATTTCTCTATAGTGTTTTTCTAAGTTACGGTTCTGTTTTTTTGAAAAAGGTTTCTAGGTAATACTTCCTCTCTACCAGCTGTGATTCTGAGCAGTCATGATATTCAACCCTTATGTAGACTTTTGGTTCCAGACCAGTGGGTCATTCACAAAGTAATGTGGTTTAGTGGGTATTTAAGTGTGATATACTTATATATATATATGTGTGTGTGTGTCTGTGTGTGTGTGTGCGTGTGTGTGACCACCCTGCATATAGTTTGGGTCACAAGAATATTAAAGAAGACATATTATGCCCCTTTTTACAATATATAATATAAGTCTCTGGTGTCCCCAGAATGTGTCTGTGAAGTTTCAGCTCAAAATACTCCACAGATCATTTATTATATCATTTTGAAAATGCCTATTTTGAGTGGAAGCAGAAACACGCTGTTTTTCGGGCCTGTCTCTTTAAATGCAAATGAGCTACTGCTCCCCTCCCCCTTTTCCAGAATAGAGCTGCACCATTCAGTGGCGGCTCGTCGGGGGAGGCAGGGGAGGCACAGCTTCCCCATAATTTTGAGTTATTCCCCATGATTTAATGTTAATAAAATTCACAATTCATTTCAGTTCATGTCTCAGAATGTGTATTTTTTTGTTTGTAATTTCACAGTTGTAATACCATAAAGTGAAAGCGCCGCTTTTCTATCGCGAATGTGCCGAATCTGCTGATGTAATTACAACCGCTAGGTGATACAGAAGGGTAGGGGGAGGCCGGGGGAGAGGTGAGCTCTCGTGCCTTCGTTGGTAAAAAAAAATTAGCCAATCACCATCGAGTGTTCACTTTCAGCGCTGAGGAGTGTTGAGAAAAGAAACCTCGTAAGGGAGGCTAGCCTCCCTTCTGATATCAACCAAGCATCATAGAGACGGAAATTACGTGATATTAGTTTGAACGTCTCCCGCTGCACTGATAATGTACCAAGTACTTATGATGAGTAGCGATATTGAATATTTGATCGCCAACATATTTACCAAGCTGTCATTCAAACAGTATATATACAAATTTAG